AGGCGCTTTTGCCGCTGAGCTAAATCCCCAGCCCCTGGTCACAGTCTTTCTTAACACTATGCATCATAAACATTAATTGCTGATCATACGGAAAGCACATAGGCCAAAAATAACACCCTATACTAAAACAATCTGACATTAGTAAAAAAAGAAGTCTGATAGATTTTAGTATTATTCATTCAATTACAGTCCATACAATCCTTTAGTACATTTGACAGGAATTAGAATTTTTAAATTAAGTCATTTCACTGTCAACTAAAAAGACATGCTCATCATTTAAGGAGCGTTCATCTGGATATTACTAATATAAACTTCAAATTATGCCTAGAATTCATGAAAAAGTCATGAAACCATATCTAAGAATTGTGGCATGTACTGGTGCTTCTGTACCACAATAAATGCCACCTCTAAAACCATCTGCCTTTTATATCGAAGAAACAGAATCACATTACTTCCTTAGCTACATTTCACCAAGTTATTGTAGACAACACCAAAATCTCTCCACACAGAGTTCCATCCTCCAAATTAATCAGTCTTAGTCCCATCATATTGCTATGAAAAACTTTTTTGCTTTTTTTTGTCCTGGGAATCAATCTCAGGACCTTGCGTGTGCCAGGCAGGTGTTGTGCTGCTGAGCTATATCCCTGGCCAAAAGACTTCATCTTTTAAAAAAATGAACGAACAGTGCTGCCTTCAAATTCTTTTAAAACAGTCACGTAGAAAAAACTGTGCTCATTTTGCATCATCCCAAATAGCAGACGAGAAAGAATGAGTGGAAGCTACTATGTTCCACATATTAGAACATCTTTCTACGTCATTTCTGCTTCAAAGTAGAACATCCTGCTTGGCTGGGGTATCTGCCGTCAGAGTCATCAGGATATCAGGATGATTCAAAAATCCCACTCAACAGTTAAGACCAACTATGATTCTATCTAATCTTTAGATCCTCTTACACATTTAAAAACACTATTTTTAAGTGCCAAACCACTGCAGTTCAAAAACTTTAAGTTTGGGGGCTGGGGATTTAGCTCAGCGGCACAGTGCCTGCCTGACAAGCGCAAGGTCGTGAGTTCAATTCCCAGTACCGGAGAAAAATTTAAAAAAAAAAAAAAATTTTTTAATTGATCAAATATAGGAAAATAAAGTCCTCAGTCTTAAAGCAACATGTTTCAGCTTTCCACTTTCCATAATGAATAATGGCTTACATTAGCAGGACTTGATCTATTAAATTACTCTAATGTTGAATAAAAATATGTATTTAAGTACATGCCCCATTCATTTGCTTATTTAAGTCAATCACTCCCAAGTGTATTCACCATCCACAGGCTGATGATAGCCAAATCTGCATTTCTTGTCCCACGCTCCTCAGCTCAGGAGTCTTTCAATTCAACTTCACATATCTAACTGCATGTTGTGCATCTCTGCCTGGTTGCCTTCCTCTGCCTCAAGCTTAACTGAACTCTTCTCTACCACTCCTTTGCCCCTGTACCACTCAGCAGTAGGCAAACACTCAGACCACAGCAGGACTCATTTGCATAATAAAACCTGACAAATCTGCAAGCTATACTATCAAAATATCTGTAAGTTCAACCATTCAACTAATACATATCTTATTAATAGGAAGATATGCATTTCTTTTGTGTGTGTGTGTGTGTATTTTTTGGGGGGAGGGATACTAGGAAGTGAACTCAGGACCTCAGCTTGCCAGGCAGGCACTGTGCCACTGACCTAAATCCCCGGCCCTATTTTTGTGTTTTTGAGACAAGGTCTCACTATGCAGTTTAGGATGGCCTTGAGCTCACTTTGTAGCCCAGGCTGGTCTTGAACTTGCAACTATCCTCCCGAGTGCTAGGATTATAGGCATGCGCCACCACACCGGGCAGCAGATCTGCATTTCTTAAAAAGGTTGACAACTAACAGTTTATTTCAAGAGAATACAAGACTGGTTCCCTGACCACTCTGTCCCACCCCCATGCTTCTGTGTACATTACCACACACCAAGTCTACAGCTCTCCACAGAAATTCATTAGAGAGCTCCATGGGTACTCGGTCATATTTATGACAATATTATTTGGAGGAGTTCTTTGTGTTTAAAGAGCAGAGAAAAAAGCATGAAATTTGCAAAAATTACTTAAATATAAATGACAGTTCTGATCTTACTTGAATAATGTATTTCTAAAAAAGATACAAATTCATATTTTAAAAACAGTTTTGGCCATAAAACAATCATTTAGAAAATTTCTTCTCTAGCCAGGTGTGGTGGCGCCGCGCCTGTAATCCCAGCACTCGGATCACTGTGAGTTCGAGGTCAGCCTCAGCTACATAGAGAGTCCAGGCCAGCCTGAACTACATAGTGAGAGTCTGTCTCAAAAAAAAATTTTTTTTTTCTTTTTCTTCTCTAATGAGAAAAAGAAGCATGCTGGACTCTATGATGTTGTATTTACTTAATCATCTAAATTACCAAACTGAGATGTTTAAGGCAAGAAATGAGAAAAAGAATAGGCTGAGAGTGGTGGCTCACGCCTGTATTCCCAGTACTGAGGGAGGCTGAGACAGAAGGATTGACTGCGGTGAGTTCGAGGCCAGCCTGGGCCATACAGCAGGTTCAAGGCCAGCCTACACTACATAGTGAGACCCTGTCTCAAACAAATAA